TCCAGCTGTGGCTTGTGGCTGAACGTCTGCTGTTTGCAGAGCAAGTCCCTGGATAATTTGGATACTGTTGCGGCCACCTCAGATGTTGATATAAAACAAGGACAGACAGAGAGAAGCACATTCTATTTAAATAATCAAACCGAATCCAAGGCTCGAGCATCACAGCTGCTTGGGGGAGGCAGCTTCAGCTTCTCGCCTTCCTCCAAATGGGAGCTTCCTGGCTTTTCCAAACCCGTGTTTGTCTTCTGGCTTTCCTGTAGAAGAGAAGACGTGGGTCTTTGTCTTCTTGTGGAGCAGCCCAATCAAGAAAGGCATCCTTGTCACTAGATGAGGGTGTCACTTTATCTTCCCTACCAACACCCGTGACACATTCTGTTTCACAGAGCCTGTGGACACACCATCATCTTCGGAGTAAAATTTAAACTCTTTGGTGTGGGATTCTGGGGTGGAACCCTCCATAATTCCGTGACTTCCTCTCAAGACAGTTCTTATCTCCTACAAACTCCAGCCCAAACAAATCACCTAAGATTCTCTTGAACATCCTGCTTATTTGTGTCTGCATATTAGTGCAGGGATGGATCTCTCTCTATCCCTTGTTGTTTTTTACACAGTTATTCATTCCTAAACACAATAATACAGAATAAATTTTTAAAAACTGTGTGTTTGAAAGTTTTAGTGGAAAACTCACATCCTGCCCCAGGCCCCTGTGGCTAGGAGCTGTTCCTGACGTCTGCTCTAAATCTTGCTTCTCCAGTTACCAGAGCTGTTCTTGCTCTAAGGTAACACTGAACCATAGGAGCAGAAGTCATCTGGAGAGTCCATATTAAACGACAAAACTTCAGGGGGCCAGCAAGATGACTCAGCGGGTCAAGGTGCCTGCTGCCAAATCTCATGACTTGAGTTTGGTCCTGGGAACTCTGATTCCTGGAACCCCTACAGTAGAAAGAGAGAACTGACTCCTGCAAGTTGTCCTCTGACCTCTGCAGGCTTGTAGGAGTACATGGTTGCACATGTGCATGTACACACACACACACACACACACACACACACACACACACACACACACACACACACAATACATAAAACCAATATGATGAAACCATGAGAGAGAGACCGTGAGGCAGAAGTCACATATTTCTTACCTTTTCACCAGTCTCTGCTGGATGGTTTCAGGACAGAGAGGAATAGAGCCGCCCTCAGGGAGTTGGGCAGGGCTCTCCTGGCTAAGGCAGCACACACTCTGATTATGCTTTCTCCACTAGTGAGTTCTCAACCTTTTTAACTCAGGGACCCTTTAATACAGTTCCTCATGTTGTGGTGACCCTGAAAGATAAAATGATTTTCATTCTGACTTCATAACTGTAAATTTGCAACTGTTGTGAATTGTAATGTAAATATCTGATATGCAGGATGGTCTTAGGTGAACTCCGTGGAAGGGGACGTTCAACACGCAAAGGAGTCGTGACTCACAGGTTGAGAACCACTGTTCTAAGACCTTCCCCAGAGGTTTCTATCTCTAAGACAAATTTGGATCCAGACACCGGCTTGCTCCCAGGACACAGAGGCCATCCTCTGTCTCTTTTTTTCTTTCAGTGGAGCAGGAACATTTAAAAACAGTGATGGTTATGGACCCTGCACTTTTCTCTCACTCCTCTCCTATCAGCATGTGTTGTTCTTGCAGCGTCTATGCCAGAGGTGATGGGTGTTCCTGAAGGAGAGGAGAAGGCTTGGGATCCACACCCGGGGAAGCAATGAGCAGGTACCAGGGCTGGGTAGAGGTGGTGGCTTAACTGTGGCTCATGTAGTCTCAACTAAGAGACTGAGTTGGGACAGGCCCTCACATCCCTCCACTGATCAGTATTGTCACAGGCTCCCTTGGGAGGAGGTGTGTCTTGAACATGGCTGTTTTCTGTAGCTGGTAGCAGAAGACTGTCTCTCGGCAGAGGCCAGTCTCTGGGGAAGGAGGGATTTTGGTTCTGAAGTGGGGGCACATCATAGCATCTACCACCCACACATTATCTCACTTAATTCTCACAGAACTCTAAGGAAACGGGTCTCAGTGTTGTGTCTGTTTTACAAATAAAGACACTGAGGCTGAAAGGAGTTTCTATAAGCCACTCATTCAAGGTCATGGTGCCAATGTGTGATAGAGCCTTTATCTTTCCGGAGGTACCCCATGATCCCTTCTTACAAAGATGCTCAGTGTTTCCCAGTAGCTATGTAGAATTAAAAGTCACAGACACCAATGGCTGGGGACATAGCTCATGGGTAGAGCACTTGTCTAGTCTGAGCAGAGCCTTGAGTTTGAGTCCCAGCATGAAAAAAAAACTTGTAAACTTGGAACATTTAAGTCAGACTTGATTAAAAGGCAGAGCCAGAGGCCTGAAGCCCGAGCAGCAGGTACCTTGAGAGGGCATGAGCAATCTGCAAATGCAAACCTCAGGATTAGCTATCAGCCTTTATTTAGACAGACGAGAGAAGTGCTCCAAATATTTACATACCAGTTACCATGAAATTCAAGTTAAATCTGTATTTATTCTGTATCTTGTCATCATAAAGTTGATTTTCTGTCCGAGTATCTTTCCTAAGGGGCGAGGCGCTTTCCTAAAATATTGAAAGGTTTATTTTAATAGTTCCAAGGACCGTAGACTTTCACATTGGAGACCATGAATATCTGTTACAGAGACTAAATTTATTAGAATGTTTGGAGAAAACTGTGTTTGTTCACTTCAAGTTGCAAACTCTGATTTTCATAAGAGGTTGGGTTCGTTCACCAGCTCTGTGAAAATGAGCCCGCCTGGGCCTCGCTCTAATGAGCCAGCCAACACAAAGCACTGTGTTGATTCTCAATTAGGGGCACAAATGAAGCCATTTGTCCTCCTAGGAAGATGAGTTTGCAGGAACAATAAATAAGTGACTGGAATGGAAAACTTGAAAGCAGCATAGAGCCTTGTTCTCTTGTGAAAACAGGGCGGTCAGAACTGTGCGGAACGGAGCCCCCATCAATGAGGTTATGACACACAGGTGTTACGTAAAACCCCAGGGTCCTTGTCAGTTTTATTATTAAGACAGTTTGGTTTGGGGGTGTTTGGGGTTGAAATGTTTCCCCTCCCCCCAAAAAATAGTATGCTGGATTCCTAATTAACAAAACTTCAGGATGTGATGTTTGTTGGAGATTGGTAACTTGGAGCAGTGACCAAATTAAAATGAAGTTGTGGGGGGTGGGCTCATCCTGCATGTCTGTATACAGAGGGGCTGTTTGGACACATGTATGCAGAGGGAAGGTGATGTAGTGATGCACGTGAGGGGTTGGGGAGGGGCGCCTGGAATACATACTTCCATCCCAGCTCTTGGAAGGACAGCTGGAACACCACCTTGATTTCGGATTCTCTGAACCCAGAATGGAAGCAATAAATTCTTGTTTTTAAAGACACCCGTTTGCAGTCCTGGTTCACATTGCCTTTGTGTTTTAGTTACGTTTCATGGTGGTGACAAAAAGATCAGACCCCAACAACTTACGGGGGATGAATTATTTCGTTTCACGGTTTCACAAGATTTCAGTCCATTGTGTGGCAGGTATGGCAGAGCTGGAAGCTCATGGTGTCATGGGCTTGTTTGGTAGAGACTGTCCACATCACCAAGTAACAGGAGACAGAGTGTGGCAGGAACCAAGGGCCCATCCCTGCGGATCTATTTCTGTCAGCCAGGCTCCATTTCCTGAAGTTTCCAGAGCGTCCCCAAATAGGGTGACCAGCTGAGGAACAAACATTCAAAACACAAGTCGGTGGGAGACAGTTCTAACCTAAACTGTAGCATCTTGCAGTAAACCCAGCTCCTCAACCCTGATTTCTCTCATTTCAACGTGCTCCATGTGTTAGCAAGCCACTTCATTCTTTTTATCCAGCTTTTACTGCCATTTCCTGACGGGAGTCCAAGCTGCCACAGCGACTTTCTGGAAATCTTTTAACACCTCTCTCATCCCTGTTCTCTTGGGGCTCATTCCTGCTGGTACCATCTTGGTAGCAGTGGTGGTGACCACAGAACGGCCCTTCACCTGTTAGTGATGCTCTGATCCTCTCAATTCTGCTTCTCTATTGGTTCTTTGACAAGATCTTGCTATGGAGCCCAGGCTGGCTTCGAACTCATGATTCTCCTGCCTCAGCCTCCTGAGAGCTGCTCACCTGAGTCTGTGTCCTGCAGGTCATGCATCCCTCCCCCTCCCCTTATGTGTCTGATGACAGTTACACACAGCACTAGCCCAGCTTGCCTAGCCACAGGTTCCTTTGTGCCTGTGACCTTGCAATTGTAGCCACACAGACAGGCCGTTCAGTGCCAGCAGCGCTGTAGGGAGGCTCTGGCGCCAGTCCACCTGTCGGGACTGAGATTCATTTTCTTTCTAGGTTCTTGTTCTTTCTTGGGTATCATTTTTTAAATGGAAATTGGCACCAGGTTGATGATAGCAAATCTGGAAAGTGAGAAAAGAAATTTATTTTTCACTGGTGAGCCAGGAAAAAATGCTTTAAATATAAGCTGTGGGTGCAATTGGGAAGCTGGGCATTGTAAGTGAGAGCTCTCTGCGCGTGTGTAAATCAGTGAATTCCAACTCACGGGTTTCAATATATGGCTGTGGACTGGTGTGTGCCGGTGTATGTGGGAACAGAGGGGTCTGTCTATGGGAAGATATGTAGTCACCCATGTGGATTGTGTGTGTGTGTGTGCACGTGCGCACACTGTTGTGCATGTAAGTGGATGTGATGTAGCACAAGTGCACACAAGTGTTTGTGAGTGTGTGCACATATAGGAGCATGTGTGTATAGTGATACTGGCTTCTCAGAAAACAAGGGAAGGAGCTGGTGTGGTACTGTCCTTAAGCTGTTGGTGGCTGTGCCATGATTCTGACCTCTCTGCCATCATGAGGCTTCTCCTGGGTTCCAAAGTGAGGGGACCCTTTCCTTTCTCATGTCCCCAAGATTTGCCCTGCCTTTTCTCTCCTTCCTTAGGACTAGCTGGGAGGAGACATCCTCAGGGAGACCAGCTGAGGAGGAACATCCAGCAGCCCCTGTCCAGCTCTGCTCCAAGTCCGCTGCATCCAGGTCTACCATGATCATCTGGTGCCAACTTCCTCAGCTCCCTGGGTGAGTGGTGTCCATCCTGCTGGCCTGGGCTCAGGCACACTGTTTCTGTCAAGAGCTTGGAAGTACATACAAGGTCCTGTTGCCAGGACCGGGCTGCCAAGCCTCTTCCACATTGCACGTGCTAGTCCATGGGAGGAGGAGAGCACCCAGCTCACTCATACCAGCCCAGCTGTGACCTAGGCCCAGTCTCCATATGGCACAAGAAGGGCTCTTAATTCCATCATCGCCAGATATTCTGACAGGTGGCCATAAGCCTGATTTACCCCAGCAACCTGGAGTCCATTTTTATAAAGCTACTAACTCCATTCAGGACTGTTCCTCTCTTGTTCCCTAATCTCTTCTCTAAAGTCCCTACCCCGGATACTGTTCCATTAGAGGTTAGCATCAGTGTTTGGAGGATGTAAGCATTCAGTAGGCATGTGTGTTCACTCTCAGTATGCTAGGTACTGAAAAGCATCTAGCCATCAGGACTCTCCAAAGGCCACAAAGGTGAGAGGTGAGTGGTAACAATCTGATGGGTGTGTCTCAGTGACTCTGCCCACCAGTTCTGAGGACCAAGGACTGAGGAATTTGGGATGCAGGTTCTAGGATAGGGAATGAAAAAGGCACAATGCTAAGGAGCAAGGCTCAAGGTGCCACACTGAGGGCAGAGGGGGTGTCTTGGGAGGTGAGGTGGGATATTAGTGACATTTAATGAAGAGATAGTCATTATGATTTGTCTAGATATCAGGGACGAGGCAGGGGCATATCCTCCATCACTTTGACCCATCTGTGCTGCCTTCACACGCCTTCATCAAAGTCTTTCCTACACAGATCTAGGCACAAGCAGCTGTTCAACATCTGCTCTCAAATGCCTTTTGACCCATCTTTTGCTGTCTTTTCAGTGCCTTTAGACATTAACAATCAACTGCCACACATTCCATCCTTTGAAAAATAGTTCAACAGAACCAGGGACCAGGTTGTGGGACCTTAAGGAAGGTCGGATGACTTGGGAGTATGACTATCAGATCCATTATAGGACATCCTGCTACATTTACATTTCAGGTGAAAACCAGATACCTATGGTGTTGTAGGCATAGTCTGTGTAACATTCGTTTTTTGCAAAGTTGTGTCTTTTCCTAATGATATGTCCAAGTCGAGCCTCTGGTACCTCTAGAAGTGACTTTCTCTGGAAATGGAATCTTTGTGGACTTTATTAAGTGAAGATGAGGTTTTAAATCCAATGTAATTGGTATCCTTCTAAGAAAGAAGAAGGGAAGGCCATGTGAAGTCATAGAGACAAGCAGGGAGTGTACGATATGATGATGGAGGTAGAAAATAGAATGATGCTCCCTCCCATAAGCCAAGGGATGCCAGGGAGTACTGGCATCACAGGAGCTGAGATACAGACTTAGTGGGGAGTCTTCTGTGAGTTCTTCAGAGATCTGGGTCCTGTATGCATTGATTTCTGACATAGACTCCAGACCATGACAGAACAGTGAAACCCTTGAGTCTGTCGTACTCAGTTCCGGGGGATCTAGGAAGCAGATGCATTTATAATTTGTCACTGTTTGAAATGAAAATCTAAGAAGATGCTCTGTATTTTATTTGCTGACTTAGGTACCCCAACTAGGGGTATCCACTTTGGTGTACTCTGTGAGACTATCAAAGGCATGTTGCCCTTGGCCCCAGGATGAGCATCCCTGATTTACTCCAGATGCCAGGCAGTATTGCTTGTCTTTTGAGAAAATCCTCCACTCAGTTCTGCAGGTCAAGTTACCATCTTGATTTCTGACTTCAACAAAACTTTCAAAACTCTCCACAGCTCTGAGGCCTGTGGGGTGGGAGCTGACAGTGTGAATGAGATCTATTCAACACAAACCTACAATCACCTGGAAAAAGGGAATCTTAATTGAAGAATTGCCTCTATCAGATTGGCCGGTTGTCATGTTTGTGGGGACATTCTTAATGGCTAACTGATGTGAGAGGGCCCAGGCCACTGAAGGCAGAGCCGTCCCTGGGCTCATGGTCCCCAGTTGTATAAGAAAGCTACCCGAGTGAGCCATGTGGAGCATGTCAGTGAGCAACATTCCTCCATGGTCTCTGCTTCCGTTCCTGCCTCCAGGTAGCACTGATTTCAACCCCACTGACCTCTGTTTTCTGGATGAAATTTAATGTTAACAGACAGCTCTCAAGGCATGTAGCTTTCCACCCTGTGGGCAGGGCCTCTCTCCGCCTTCATCCAGCAGAGACCCACAGGGCCAGCCTGGGGAAGTAGGAAGGGTCTGCTCCTTCCTCTCCTCTGGAAACTCACAGCTTAAACAGAAAAGAAGGGGCATAGAACGTGGTTCAAACTATGAAAGGCAGAGACGGCCACAGCTGGAGGGAGTGAACCAGATATCATATGTCTTGAGAGGTTGGCAAAGTGAGACTGAAGCTGCCTGTGGGCCCCTAGTTAGAGACCGAAAGTGTTTCCATGCCCTTCCCAATGGTGCGGCCCCTTGCCTGGTCCAGTGTTGATTGGAGCGACCCCCGTAACTCCCCAGCCACAATAGCTATGGCTTTTGTGGGGCCAGAGATGAACGGAAATCAGATGTGAGGGGTCCCTGGCTGAGCAGGTTGCTATGACAGGGAGGAGCCTGGCATTGGTGGGACAGCTGGGTCACAAGGTCACCATATCCCACTGTCCCCAGATCCCTCCCAAACAGTGGAATGATTGAGCTTGACATGTTCATTTGCTGCCTGTTAAAAGTCCATTTGCTGGGCCCAAGCTGGAGTCCGCGGGGCGGGCTTGAGAGGCTCACCGTGAAACAGCTGCCGCAGCTGCTCAGCATGCAGCATGAATATTAGTCTCTCCCAGAATGAGGCTCAGCTGCAGTTGTCTTTGGCTCAGGGATGTGACTGGGCTGTTTGCCTACATTCCGTCCTGCCACGCCTGGCTCAGGGGGACATTTCAGAATCCAGGCCGGGTGTTGGCTGACCTGAGTCCACTGGGGGTTTCAGCCCCAAGATCCTGGTAGGAAAGAAGAATTTCATCATCAGACAGGTGAGAGGAGAGTGTAGGGGTGGAGTATCTTGGGTCCACCACCTTCCCTGCAGAATCAGACAGACTTACCCCAGGAATACACTTCTCACCTGCACAGTAAGAGCTTAGTTCTAAACCATTTCCTTCTGGCTGAACCACCAAGAGATTCTAGTATGGCCCAGAGTGGAGTGGCCACAGCCCAACCTGACCACACTGGGCCCATGGCCTACTCTGGAGTTGTTAGATCTGGATGTGAGCCCTAGACATCACCACCACCATCCATCACCAGTGCCCGTTTACTCCTGTGCTCGGTGCTGGGATCATGGCAATAAACAGGACTGTCAAGGGTATAGTAGCCAGATGAGAAATTCAGACCCATCACTAAACAAAATAACTTTAGCTGTGAGTGTTGTGAACCAATTCCATGGCAGGGAGTGACCAGAACCCCCTGGCTTCTTCGAGGAAGTGACAGGTTTGAGCTGTGTTCTAGTGTGCTTTCTATTGCTTTGATAAACACAATGACCAAAGGCAACTTGGGGAGGGAAGGGTTTATTTCATTTTACAGCTCACAGTTCAGCATGAAAAAAGGGGCATCAGGATGCTGGGCAGGTCCCCAAGGGTGGTTCAGAACTCTAACATTCCTATGGTTTTGATTGTTATAAAAAGGTGAGTTATGGACAGCAAGTGGAGGGGGCAATGAGGGCCCCGAGTTCTCCAGGCTGCTTCCTGCTGATTTGGGGGTGAAGTGGGGAGGGGGAGGTTGGAAGTGATGCACAATTGGGAGGTGTGAGTGAAGAAGCATTCAGTTAGCTGCCATCCTGGAGACCCCTTGAGGGAGCTGAGAAGGCAGGTTGCTAGGAAAAAAAATTGGTTGTTAGCATTCTGAACCAGCCCTTGGGGACCCGCCCAGGGTCCTGATGTCATCACTCTGATCAACCCTCCCCCTTCTTTTTTCTTCCTCCTCCTTCCTCCCTTTCTTGCCATGAGGTAGTACACACCTCTGCTTTCCCTCTTCCCCCTTTCTCTTTCTCCCTCCTTAACTTCCCCATCCTCTCTCCCCTCCCCCTTTAATAATAAAACTTTCCACGTGGATGCCATGTCTGCATGGTCTGAGTAACTTTCCACTGCACCATACCACCACTGGCTGAGTCTGCATGGCATGCCTCCCTCACCTGCCACTGGGCATCTTGGCTCAAACCCACCAGGAGTTTGAGTGGGTTTGAGTGTTGTTTTACAAAAGGCAGGGCAAGACCTAAAGGCAGGACCAAAAGGCAGGACCAAAGGCAGGACCTAAAGGCAGGACCAAAAGGCAGGACCAAAGGCAGGACCAAAAGGCAGGACCAAAGGCAGGAACTGAAGCAGAGGCCATGGAGGTACACTGCTTACTGGCTTGCTCCCCGTGGCTTGCTTAGTTACCTTTCTTACACACTCCAGGACCACCTACCTAGGGATTGCAATACCTACAGTGAGCTGGGCCCTCCCACATAAGTCATTAATTTAAAAACTTCCTCACAGACTTGCCTACGGGACAATCTGATAGAGGCAGTTTCTTAATTGAAGTTCCATCTTCCCAGAGGACTCTAGCTTGTGTCCACAAAAAGTCCAAGCAACACAGGCTGGGATCTTCAACCTTTGTGAATCTCAGGTTCTGAGTCAGCACAGGGGTAGTGGGGGTACCCTCATGTTGCAATGTGTAAGAACATGTATGGTGTGTGTGTGTGTGTGTGTGTGTGTGTGTGTGTGGCAGAAGCTGGGCCTCAGGGCCTCTGCAGCTCTCTAGGGCCACCTGGCAATTGGCATTAGTGACCAACTCTTCTTGGGGCCTCAGATCAGAGTTTCCCAAATATATGTGTGAAAATTTGCTAAAACGCAGATCCCTAAGCTGAGTACAATAGCATCATTTGCAGCCTCAGCCTAGAGGCTCACCTGGGGCCAGGATTTTGAGACTATCCTGAGGAGCAGAGCAAAATTCCATCTCAAAAAGTACAGATTCCCA